TCTCGTAGGCTACATTCCAGTGTACGCATCGGTATTGAGATCCAAGAGATCATGATATCTTGTCAGAACATTGCAGAAATTAAGGACTCTCTGACGCTGACGCTGTTTGAGCGTATACTAGGGCGCTAGCCAAAGCTCGAAATATGACCGTCGGTAATGTTGTCTAACCCTTAAAATCTATGGATTTGTATGGGGTGCCAGACTATTTTTTCTGTAATTGACGTATACAATGATGTTTGAAATAAAAAAGCTTACCTTATTTAAGTTTTTTGTTCCTCCCACCTTCTTGTGTAATCCCCGAGCCGATTTGTGCCCACTTTAAGGTTTTGTTGGAACCGGTGATTTATACCAGCCGATTTTTTGAAAACGAACCCAAAGAAATTTGCAACCGTTCGAGTGAAAAAGGGCCAAAAGTCGTATCAGGATTTTTGCGCCTGATAAGCTCGAAAATCACACTAGCGAAGAAAGGAAAGGAGAAAAAGAAAGAGCGAGAAGAAAGAAAGGAGGAGAAGAGAAAAAAAGCAATGGTTGTACTCTTAGTTTTTTTATTGGCTACTTTGGAGAAAATTTTTGGCCGCATGAAACTGTTTGACTGAAGAGGTCTATTTGGCGGTAACGTTTTCAAAAATCTCCCTAGATGTCTTTTACATCATTTCTCTGTAAAAATCCCTCCCACAATATCACACAAGTATACAGTCAAATCTCTCGTAAGCGACCACCCTTGGTGCACGACAAAGTGGTCGCTTACGGGAGGTGGTCGTCTACAGGAAAAATCAAGAAAAAGAACTCACATTGAACAGATTAACGTAATTACGTAAAGTTATTATCTTACAAGCAAAAATGAGGCAAATAGAGAACTTCTAATAAAGCTTAACTCGAATAGCGCTTGGAACTGATGAAACTTAACATTATGCATGAAAGTGACAATCCACTTTTTACCTACAGATCGTATTACAGACATCTTTTTTATAAGTCAACTGCTACAATCTGTCAGCAAACTTGGTCAGCAGTGTTCAAAATTAACTTTTGTGACATTCGAGCAACGGTTTTCTTACAATCATACGTGATCATGCCGGGTGGTCGCTTACCGGAAACAGAAAAGAAAAGAATATATTAAATTTCTGGCCCAAAAAGTGGTCGCGGTCCCTTAAGAAATTTAGGTAGTGGTCGCTCACGAGAGAGTTTTTGAAACAGTGTTTGACTGAGAAACAAAAGGATTATTTGTAAAGTGGTCGCTTACGGGAGGTAGTCGCTTAAGAGAGGTGGTCGCTATGAGAGAGTTGACTGTATTTACTATAAGCTATTATGAAGCCTTGCATTAAATACAAGAGGCATGGAACGAACGCTTAGCGTTCCCCCGCCCCCATCCCCGGACAGCTGCAACGTTGTGCACATTGTACCTGCAACTGTCACTTCAGTTATATTCGTCAGTTATTCAGTTCTTTAACATTTTGTGTAAGATGATCGTACTTCACAGAAAAATCCACGCGGACTAATAGATTCTAATTCACATGACTCACATCACTTCACACGCTGCTCCTGAAGTTGTGGCGTTGACTTGACGGATGACAAAGCGATAACTTGCTACTACCGAAATTGGAAAACCACAACTCGTAAATGCTATTGTTTGATAGAGTTTTGGGCGAAGAATCAGTGACGGCTAAAAAAAGTTTGCTTGTGAACAAAGAAACAATCATTTTTCGTTACCAACAGGATAACGTGTTTGCTCTGAATAGACTGTTTACAGTTTTGAACAAGCTTCGATGTTTTAGTTGACAAAAGATCCTCCGTCTATTGTTTATGGATGGATAATATTATTGTCTATCAGAATTTGTAATCGAAAGTTAATTCTTTTTTTTTTTTTGGTACCCTGTTATAGGTTCCTGAACCAAAAATAGAAAGTGTCAGTGAAGTGACATCATCAGAGCCTGAACATGAGTTAATGATTGATACTTCACCTCCAGAAGAGATCACAAAGCGCGCTAAGGAGTGGATAAAGTATGTGAAAGGTGAAAAAGATGTTACAGAAAAATCCGTTAGTAGTATCGAACTGTGGGATTTTGCTGGACAAGAGCTGTACTATGCATCTCATCCTGTATTTTTAACATCACGTGCAATATATATCTTGGTGTGCAATCTCAGCAAATCATTGCATGACACTGCCCAACCCTGTGTGAGGCAAGGAAATCATAATTTCACGTTGGAGAACCCAAATGGGGAAACAAATTTGGAGAATCTGCTATCTTGGCTGTCCACAGTGCATAGCATCACACAGATGAGAGGAGAAAACTGTGATGATGTTGAAGGAAAGCTGCCTCATCTGCGTCCCCCTGTGATCATTGTAGGCACCCATGCTGACAAACCATTTGAAGACATTGCAACAATGAAGTTAAAAATACAGGAGGGACTTGCTGGTAAGGACTATGAAGGACATGTAGTGCGGCCTATCTTCAGCATTGACAACACTGCAAAACTGATTCAGAGGAGGTTGGAAAAGGTTTTCGGAAACGATAAAAACATTGATGACATCCAAGAGCTTAGAGAGAAAATCATGGAAGTGTTGAGACAGGAGCCATACATGAAGGAAATGATACCAGTGAGGTAAATAAAGTGAATAATAGAAATCAGGTCTTTTGCTGAGAATTTTCATGTTAATTAATGGATGAGGTTTGACAGCATTAAAACTACAGTGAACATATGTACATATACACAATGGGCCTTTGTCCAGTCCTTACAGCATTTTGCTTTTAAGTTGTATCAGTAAATAGTTGGCTACGTTGGTAGGGATGCCAAATCCTCGTCTAAAATATCTAGAGGCTGCCGGCACATGGTAAGACCTTAAAGTTGAAGGACAAACAATATACATTGTCGGTGATAGCGAAAAAAAAAAACAAACAGAAAAAGCATTAAACACGTGAAACAGGCGAAAGATTATCACTTACGCACCCTAAAACCAACAAATATAAACCCTAGAGATGTGAAACTACAATTCCACCTGTTTTCAACAATTTTGTAAAGTGAGCGCATTTACATCGAACTTCTAACTAAAGAGGACTTTCGAGGAGTCTAACGTATTTTCCATTCCTAATTTTTACTTTTTCAAAGTTTAATAACTTAAACTGCAGTGATGGAAATTCAATGAAACCGCGTGCCCATTAGCATCATACGGTGTACTATTCATCACAAGTAACCGCATGCCCTTCGCTAAAACAAAGAGCGATGTATTATGAGTAGAAAATGACTCCTCAGTAACTTTATCTCTGGTTGTACCGTTTTTGGAACTTAATAACTTTCACACCAGTGATTCATAGTCAACAAAACTACACCATTAAACATCATACGGTGTACTATTCATCGCAGGTAACCTCATGCCCATCGCAACAACAACGAGCGATGTACTATGGGTAGACAATGCCTCCTCAGTACCTTTACTTCCGGTTGTACCGATTTTAGAACTTAATAACTTTCACATCAGTGATTGATAGTCAACAAAACTTTACCAGAAGAAACATCATACAGGGTACTATCCATCGCAAGTAAGCGCATGCCCATCGCAAAAACAACGAGCTATGTATTATGGGTACAACAGGAAGTGAGGGTACTGAGCAGTCATTTTTTACCCATAATACATCGCTCGTTATTTTTGCGATGGGCATACGGTTATTTGCGATGGATAGTACACCGTATGATGTTTCTTCTGGTGCAGTCTGGTTGACTGTGAATCTCGGCTGTAAAAGATATTAAGTTTCGAAAACGGTACAACGGGAAGTAAAGGTACTGAGGAGTCATTTTCTACCCATAATACATCGCTCCTTGTTTTTTGCGATGGGCATGAGATTACTTGCGATGTATAGTACACGGTATGATGTTTCTTCTAGTGTAGTGTTGTTGACTATGAATCAGTGATGTGAGATGAAAATGAACAAATGATCGTCCCAGTGAACGCATTTATGCACATTGTGTAAAGAAGACTGAAAAAAATTCAGGACTTCAACGGGGTTTGAACCCGTGACCTCGCGATTACCGGTGCGATGCTCTACCAACTGAGCTAATATATAGATTTAGCCAGGGCTAAAAGCGAAGCTCCCGTTAATAAATTCATAATTTAAATCAAACAATAAACTTGTAATCCACAGATCAGGGCACATTCATGTAACTTTTGAGGCAAAGGCTAAGTGATTTTAGAGAAAAATAATAATTACATCGAGTCAATGGTCTTATTTGTACATCCAAAAAAAGCAATGATGTTCGATCACAGTAGATTAGGCCTGGAAAACAAATAGGCCTTATTCGTGTGTTATATTTGCATTAGCTGTTGCATCATAATGTGGCATTCACTGCTCTCCAACATTGCTCCGTTAGAGAGACTATGCAGTGACTATGGATAATTGGACAACCCCGAAATTTAATTTTAAGAACCACACGCGCAACGATAGTCCTTCGTGGCAGCCAATTTACACGTTGCATTCCTCTGTCTAAAAGAGAGGCCAAAATAAAAAATCAGGCCGGATCTTTCTGTGTTCGACAAGTTTAGTTTACTAGTAAATCTTGGCGACGAATCTGGTGGCGTGTAAACCAGCCTTTTAAACATACTTTTCCTCATCACGTCTCAGGTAAACGGTACTATGAGGCCCTTTTTTATCATACAGACCTCGGACAGAATTTGTTCTTTTTTGCCCTATGAAACCTATAATTCTGCAGTTTTTCACAATTTTGCAAGAGAATTTGCACTCATTCAATATCCACAACGATCAAAGCACGCGCTTCCTTTGCACAACAAATTATAGCATTGAATTATAAGACATTTTCATGAAGAGAATTCTATAATGCCGGGACTTTTCAGTTAGAAAAATCTGGTCCTATGTGATATGCAGGGTAATAATTATGGACTTTTAATGAAAACGATAAAAAAATTCGCAAAATCACTTTTCGGCCAGCCGGACGGGTTCTCACTTTTGACAGGCACCAAATTTGCAGTGCGATTAATAGAGTTACCATTTACGCTTCAACATGATAGAGAACTTGTTATGTTTAGATTTTATTTCCCTTTATTTATTAAACTGTGTATGGTTTTGTTATGTGTAATCTTTATATTCGACTGGAAACAACCAGTGCAGCGATAAAAATTGCGAGAGGGACTACTAACAATCAATAAAATAAATATAATTCGGTGAAACATGTACAAAGACAATAATTTTCATTCACGAAGAAGGTGTTTGCTCTTTTTCAAGATGAACTCGAGGCAAGAAAATCGCTCAGAGCCTTCTGTTTACAGCCAAAATCATAACTAAATAATCTTCGGAACCTTTTCTTTGAATTTGCGGTCAAAAACTGTCTAAAGGCTTTTTAAACCTGATACTATTGTAGGTTATATCATTGCTCCTGCAGCTCGTGTATAAACTTAAGCCGCATAAACTATACGCTCGACTTCAGGAAACCGAAAAAAAAACACATCAAAGACAATAATAGCCTGCGCGCAGACGAAATTAAACTCTGGTTAACTCCGTCTGCGAAACAGCGCCGAAATCCTTGTTCTGGACTTCCAGCTGTGTACCCAGATTTGAGTACGCGCCACGATTGGCCAGTTAAAAAAGGCTTTGTTTTGTTTGTCGTGATCGCCAATCCGGTTGAAGGGGAATTCGAAACGCACTTCCGGTAATTCGTTGAGTCCGTTGGGGGCTCAGAACAAGGATCTCTGCGCTGCTTCGCAGACGGTACTAATCAGAGTTTAGTTATCGTCTGCACGCAGGCTAAGACAATAATTGCTCAGGCTTACCAGTCGAGATGCTGTTTCTGAAGGTCATCAAGTGTTCTAGAATCGCTTGCGACTTTTCAACCCTCTTACGCCTCAAGCAAGGGCAAGTGAGTAAGCTCATTTTTGAAAACGATGCCATCCGAAATCGGATTTCCAATGACTTTGACAAGCGGTGCATTTGTCAACAAAATGCGCAATAGACAAACCAGCCATGAATTACAGAACAATCTTGATAGCAGCTGTATTTCATTTTGTACACCAAGTAGAAAAAGACAGTTTAAAACATCACAAGATGACACAAAACTCTGTCAGCTCCAGCTCCAGTAAGCAAGTTTCCAGACGCTGCATAAATTTTCCGCATGAACTCACCAGTCAAATTTTGACCAATCAGAACATAACGCGTGACAGTGAGAAAATTCAAAAGCGATTGCTTTCCCTGCATGTAAATGTAAAAGCCGGTTGAATTTTCGCGTCCGAGGTCAGTTCGAAATCAACATTTTAAAAATGCGGCTCATGAACACGACTTATTTCATATGCATTTTAAAAAAATTGAACTTGAGCCTGCGATCATTTGAAAAGTAGTAACTTGTCAGCGGATGCCTTTAATAAAACACTCGAACTTAGTGGGTCGATACCTGAGTCCGCGATACGGTCAGGCAATACTGGTCAGCAGAAAGACTATTTTGACAACTGTCAATTAATCAAAACATGGATGTACAAAATCAGGTTGCAGGCTCCCAAACTAGCTAGAAAGTGTGAGATTAAACATTGGTAGGCCTGTGGTGCCTGTGCCGAATTTTCTAGGATGAATAGATTTTCTAAGCTATGGGGTTTCGAATTGAGCCCGTGACCAAATAAAATATCAGCGCAAAACTTTAAACACTAAATTAACCTCAATGGATAAAAAATGAGCCCACGATACACTCAGGTGATGATGGTCAGCGTATACTTTAGTTTGACAGCTGTCAATTAACCTTCATTATAATGGCGAATATTCGAATTAACAGACTACGAGTGTGAGTAAGACATATCCGTCCGGCACGTTATTATTATTACGTTATCACGTCCTTTGATAGTGGTCTGCTCAAGTCCCATTTTGACAGCCTGCCAATATAACTTTAAACGACTATCAGCCAGCTGACAGCCTTGCCCGGCGTAGTTTCGTTTTTATGTTGAATTGGTAAGTGTGACATATTACATCAGCTTATATATAGGGGCAAAACGACTGGTCTTTCATCTGAGCCCGCAAGATGGTCATGTGGTAATTGTCAGCCCGCTGTCTGATTTTGACAGCTGTCAATCGTACTCATACGGATGGTTTACAAAACTAAGAGGCTAGTCAAGTTCTGCAAGATCTATTGTGACATTTGACATCGGCTTACGTGAAGTGTGTGTACGGGCGGGCGGGCGGGCGGGCGGGCGTACGCTACGTCATAACCAATTTTCTCGGATGGATAGTTTACCAAATTTTCTTACCCATGGTGCTCCGCTGCGCGCGCGAGAGCTCCGCTATGAAGCCACTGACGTTGTGAGCAGGTCAATTGTGAGTTCATATGTTCCCGTGAAAGAAATGAGTGTTAATGATATATGAAATAAATCATACATGAACTGCGTAAATGAAATGAAAATGGAGAAATGATCGTCGCAGTGAACGCAATTTATGCAAATTGCGAGGTCACGGGTTCAAACCCCGTTGAAGTCCTGAATTTTTTTTTTTTTTTCAGACTTCTTTACGCAATTTGCAT